AAATAGGCTCAAGAAAGATTAACGGTTTTCAAAGATATGTTTAATACTAAAAATTTTTACTAGTTGAAATTTAAAAGATCCAAGAATTCTAGTTGAAAATTTATTTAAGAAAAATAGTTGTTAACTATTTAAAAAAGTCTAATAAGTACGTTGTTAAATGATTATATCAGTTTTTGAATTCATTTATTGAAAGGTTATACAAGCTTGCCCTTTCGTCTGTTCTTTTGGATCTTTACCTGATAGAATTTGCATTTGAAAACTTCAAAATCAAATCAGATACGTGTTTAAATAGTTAGGATTGCTTATAATGCTTTAATGTAGATATTTGATTTTAATTTTTCATTTAAAATTGTTCTAGTATAGTTTTTTCAGCATATTTTTAATCAAAAAAAGAACTTTTCCCCAATGAAATATTTTATGTGTTTTACAGCCTTAATGTAGACTACTTCATTTTTTGTTCCTCATCATTTAATTACCTGCAAGAAATCATTGTCAGCAAATATATTTAATATCAATTATCTTAATTTGTTTCATAGTCAACAACCACCGCCGTTTTTTTGCTTTTATAAAGAGAAATAGATAAAAAGTAATTGATTAAGGCTGGAGAAATCTAATTGTTATTTTAGCTACTTTTACTTTAGTTTTTAATTAAAATATAAAGCTTTTAGTATAAAATTATTTTCAGGTTAAAAAAATTTAAATATAGAGATTTAACAAAAACTGAATTTTAAAAAAATGACGACTTTATCAATAAAAAAGGTGCCCAGTGGCTGAGTGTTGGTACTTCATTCTTATCTACCACAGGCTCTATCCTTGGACCGGGAAGGGCTGACTCATCCCTTTTTCCATCTAATGGGCAAATAAAATCAACATAAATCATGTTTGATAAATTAAACACTGTTTGTTATGTATTCGGTGACGACACAAATCAGAATATTTGCTCCTGCACCGCAGTGCAAAAGGTCAAGAAAATCGGAAAGAACAAAGTAGACCATGGAGTTTAGTTCTCCATGAATAAAAAAATTCTGACACTTTAAGAAGAATTTTAACACTAAGAGTTAAGAAAATTTCCAGTCATTAAGTTAAAAATCAATAGTTTCTAAACAACAGCAAAAAAAATTTTTTTCTTTCAGTTTTCCTAATTTTCTCTAATGATCAAATGAAAATGTAAAAAAGAATCGGACAAACAAAATATATGTTGAAAAATATTGGTATAGCTGTAAGAAATGTCCCCAATAAAGTATTTAATTTAAAAAAAAATGCGCTTTAAACAAATAAAAATAACATATTTAAAGTTTTTATATAAGAAATACCTAAATAAACTTTTAAAAAGCTTTTAGATTTCCTTCAAGGTCGCTCTATTTCTAAAGTGTATTCATAAATTTCTAATCTCGCTAATTAAAGTGCATGAAATCACGAAAGAGCAATTTAGAATAAAATCTGCTTTCTATTAGCATTTAATGTTTAATGACTGTAACACTAACTGTGGAAACGCCCTTTAGGGAGAAAGCAAGTTTTTTTTAAAAAAACAGTAATGAAAAGATTTACTATTCAAAATAATTTTCAACTTTACTTTCCAAAATAAATGTCTTATTTTCTATATTTTCTGTAATGAGCATCTAAAAGCTTTAAATGATTAATAACTTAATATTTTAAATTGATCACTAGCATTAGTTAAATATTGGTTTTCCAAAGATGTTGTTAATTACTAAGATTAAAACTTTGTTTTGTGAGGACATTACAGCAATAATTTATTTTCAATTTTTTTAAGTTATTTGTTACAGGAATATGCCATCATAGTACGAAATGGTGATAATATTTTTTTCATGAGCGTGGTGTACTTTTTCATAGTATACTTTTAAAACAATTCAACTCAATTCTAGATATTTAGCATGAGTAAACTTTATAGGCAGCAGCTCTCCAATCTGTAATTATTTATATGACCATATGTCTTAGAAAATTTAAATTAGCTTTATTTTTTTTAAATGCAAAAAAAAATATTTAAAAAACACTGGTTCAAATAGATGAGCTGTCGTTTTTTTTAAAGTATTAAGCATTAAAATTGCGTTGTTTTTTAATATTTATCCATCTATATATATATATAATAACAGGACTACATCCCTGTTATCATTGTTGTATTCATCTTTAATAATGCAGTCAAAAGCCATAATATGTTATAAAAAGGTTTACTAAAGTAAGGATGGTGGTTATAACAGTTCACATCCCCACTCCACAAGGGAGGGGGAGTGGACAAACTGCGGATGGTTCCGGCAGATGGTTATTGGAACACGTTATTCAGCAAAAGACATGCGAAAACCATCGGTCCCGCATTAAATACTACAGAGAATGATGTAATTAGGTTCCAGTCGTACATACCTTTGTAACTCTACGCATTATGGAAAATCATTTAATGCTTCCTATTATGGAAGTGAATGAGGGACAAGATTCTAAAAAATAACTCCTCCTTCGAAATATAAATGTAATTATGATTCAATGGTATGTTTTCAGCCTTGAAGTCCCGAAATAGAATTTCTACACCTATTCTCTACTAAAGACATTTTATGAAAACGAAAGAGTTTTAATGGTTTTATTCAGGGTTGGGTTTTTGACGTCAAAAAGAGGTTTTTGACATGACAAGGGTATAATACTGGTTTAAACCGTCAAAAACCCGTCAAAAATGTCAAAAACTAAAGTTTGCCAAAAAAATATATAAACTTCAAAACTACCAACAGTTGCCATGCATTATATTGAAATTTAATTATACTATAGGTAATCAGCAGGTTTTAAAATATTTTTTAATTAAAATTAAGGTAAAATAACAGAAGTTTTACAAACATTATATAATAACCGATAATAAGGCAGAAAAATTTTG